GGGTTTTGAGTTTTGGGTTTAGGGGTTTAGGTCCAGGGCTCTTAGGATTGAGGATTCGGGGTTTACAAGTTTTGGGTTTAAGGACTTCAAATTTGGGTTTAAGGGTTTAGTGTAAGGGTTTAGGGCTTAAGGGTTAGGGGTTTAGAGTTTAGGGTTTAGGGTTTAGGCTTTGGGCTTTAGGATCAGCCTTGATCTCCTCAAGAGCCTCGAGTTCCCAGGATTACAGGGGCCTCTTTGGGCTCTACCTGGAGGGTCGGAGCACTTAGGGTTTAGGGTTTAGGGTAACTAGTTCTTTCATAGACGTATAAGTACCACAACCCCAAGTAGAGGGATACCTTTTAAAGCGTGCTTATAATTCTACTTAATATCTACTTATTATAAGTCCCCCGCCACTCCAAGTAGGTTTTGTGGTTTTCAGGCTACCCTAAACCCTAAACCCTAAACCCTAAACCCGGGTTTAGGGCTTAAGTTTGGGGGATTTGGGGAGTTTAGGGGTTAGAGCTCAAGGCCTTTGAGGTGTTGGGATTCAGGGTTTAGGGTTTAGGTTTTGTCTAGCTCTTCGGGCTGTGGAGTATAAGTTTCGAGGGTTTTAGTACCATACTCTGCTTTGCTGCATTTTGCCAAAGCAGTTTGCTTGTTGGCGCATGATAACACCGCTGTGAAGAGTGTGGCCTTGTATTATTGTTGCTGCGGGATTAAACTTTGCGATAACAGGGTTCTTCTAGTCTTGCCTAAAACCCTAAACCCTAAACCCTAAACCCTAAACCCTAAACCCTACATGCAGGAGAGTCATGGAAAAGATCGCAGGTCGCCCGAAGCGAAACTGGAAGAGCGTGTTCCAAATCTTGCTGATGAGTGCTTTGGGTTTAGGGTTTAGGGTTTAGGGTTTAGGGTTCACCGAGAACCACAGCTGTGCGCAATGCACACGTACTATGCCCGGACGAGGATCTCATCCCAGAATCGGGGTTACGGTCTGTCATACAGAGATGTGGCATGAAGACATTCGGGATCAGCAGTCGTTCATGACCCAGGTGGTGTGCGACTGACCATGACTCGCACTCAATCAAGGAGAAATCTCTGCAGGGAGTCGGAATTTTAGGGCTCTTAGTCCTCTACTTGTAGTCTAGAAGGGTGTTGACGTTGTTTGCGGCATGGTTGTTGGAGGGGAGGGTGTTTGCCCGTAAACCCCAGACCCCATAGTTAAACGTAAAGAAAGCCCCAACCTTAACCCCGACACCCTATGCCCTGAACCGCATAATTTGACCCTGAAAACGCACCTGAACCGTAAACCCTAAACCCTAAACTGGAAAGGCCCTAAACCCTAAACCCTAAACCCCAAACCCTACAATAAGGTCTTACACGAAGCTTCAACACTAAGATATACATCCCGAGCCCCAAATTCAGTCGCTGGGAGGTTGAACCAGAACCGGCCTCCCACGAGATGCACCACGAGGCATCCCTGCGGAGCCAATTCGCGCCGAGAGGGTGTTTAGGGTTTATAAGGGTTTAGGGGCTTTCAAAACCCGAGCAGTAGAGTCGGTCACCTTTCACCTTAAGGTTAACCTTTAGGTCCCCTAACCCTCACACCCTAAACCCTGAACCCCAACCCTCAAACCCTACACCCGAAACCCTAAACCCTCAACCCTAAGCCCCAAACCTAGGCTGTTTTGCCAATTATCAATCTTTGAGGGAGAGCAGGCGCCCTTTAGAGTTCAGGGTCCTTGGGCTTGGGTTCAGGGCTTTGGGGGTTTAGGGTTTAGGGGTTAGCGGTTTAGGGTTTAGGGTTTAGGGGTTAGGGTTTAGGGCCAAAAAACCCCCAACACCCTAGACCGCTGAACCCTAAGCCCCCTCGGGTTGAGAGCGCTATGTTCTGTTGGGGGGGTGGTTTTTGAAGGTTTAGGATCTCGGCTCACGAGGGTTCAAGATCAGGGTTTCGGGTTTAAGGGTTTAGGGTTTGGGGGAAGATAGGTTTTCAGGGTTTAGGGTTTAAAGGTTTAGGGTTTGGGGGAAGATAGGTTTTCAGGGTTTAGGGTTTAAGGGTTTAGGGTTTGGGGGAAGATAGGTTTTCAGGGTTTCGGGTTTAAGGGTTCAGGGTTTGGGGGAAGATAGGTTTTCAGGGTTTAGGGTTTAAGGGCTCAGGGTTTGAGTTCAGAGAGACCCCTATAAACCCTAAACCCCTCAACCCTACGGGTCGTGGACTGACAGCCAGATGACTTGGTTTAGGGTTTAGGGTTTAGGGTTTAGCAGGGTTTAGGTTCGTTCCAACGCTAATGCTTCCTTGCCAAAGATTGGGTGAAGAAGCATGGCTATCGCATGAATTCTGACGATAGGACCTGCTTCGGCTGGTACTTTTCGGCATCATTGCATGTGGGTAGTTCTCTAAAGTAGGGGCTCTTTTTTGGGGGGGTGGGGCGGGTCCCGAAAAATTGTACGGCGCCCTTCTAAAAAGGGCCCCAACAGGGACCCTAATTTAGAGAAGTACCCATAATATGTTCTGGCACACGGGCCTCGTCCAGCCCACCTCGGAGCCAGTAATACGGTTTATAGGGGATTCGTGTGACATGGACCGGCACCCCATGATTATGTTTTTCGACATGGCCAGCTGGATCAAGCTGGTGGACCACACGAAAGTGAACCTGAAACCGTTTGTGGGCTTTGGCGATTTTAGCATTGTGCACGAGGTTTTTTTCATGCTCAATCACGTGTTCTCTTCACGCGACACGGACAAGCTCCGTGGTGTTCGACCCGAGAATCATAGAATTTATGGCCTGGCAATTTTAGTTGTGGGTCGGTTGTTATGGGCTTCAAGGATTTTGGAAATGTTCGGTAAGATTGCTGCCTGTGACGAAATCAGCCTCGCTGCCGCTCACGGTGAGGACTTGCAACTGCTGCAGTACGTGCGGTGGACTTTCTGCAGGCTCTCGCGTGAACTTCTATCCCGATCTTGCGCCCTTAGTTTAAATCCGGAATGCCTTCACCCTAAACCCTAAACCCTAAACCCTAGCCAAGAAGCGCTATAGCAAATTGAAGGATCCATGGATCAGTCCAAACCCCTTAACCCTGAACCCCCTCCAGTCCTTTTGAAACCCTGAACGACGTTCATGAGACCTTACAAGGAACGCAACACCACCCTGCAAAATCTGGGTTTGGGTTTAGGGTGAAGAGAAAGCCTTAAGCTCCCAATGCTCTGGAGCCTCGAGGTTGCGTCTATGCAGCCGACGCCGAGTGCCTGCACCAAAGCTGCGGAGGACAGCACCCTGGATGCCACTCCATCTTGGTCTAGACAGTTAGTTGGTTGATAGTCTGACCTATGGCTATTCTTCAATCAAAGTAGGGACGTGTCCCAGAGCAGAGAATGTAGAGGTTGGGGCTTTCAGGTTAGAGCATGCGGCGAATGTTACAGCTAAGTGTCAATTACAACCCTAAACCCTAAACCCCTAAACCCGTACTAAGCTCTGCTTTAGACTGGTGAAAAGCCTTGCACCTGTGCCTTATCAGAGCGTTCGGGTTAGAGTTTAGGGTTTAGGGTTTAGGGTTTAGGCCGTTGTGCCTTCCCGCTCTCCAGAAATGTTTCAAACTTTGATTGAGATGAAACGCCAGCTGAGATGGTTAGGCGGTGTTTCAAGGACCCCCTATACGCAAGGCCTAGATTGGGGGTTTCCGAAAATAGGGGACCCTAATTAGCACCCTAAATATTAGGATCCTTATTATAAGGAGCCCAAAATACGGTACCCCTTTTTTTTCGGAAACTCCCAGATAAAGCCCACACCAAAAGCCTTGACTTCTTATGCCTCCACTGCTCTTCGCCATGAGCCTTGACGCCTCCAACGCCCAAGTGGGACTTTCCGACAATTGGGGGGGTACCTTATTTTGGGGTCCTTATAATAAGGAACCTACTATTTAGGGTACTATATTGGGGTCCCCTATTTTCGGAAACCCCCATATCCCTAAACCCTAGAGGTTAGGGTTTCAGAGAAGGATGAACAAGTAAAGCACATCCACATAGAGTTTGTAAGCTCCAAGAACTCTATAGAACCAGAAGATGTATTTAACAACGCACCACGACGCGAAAGAACAACCTCGCATAGGCAAGCGAGCCCCTGCAACGCTAAGCCCTGAACCCATCGGCACCCTCCGGGCTTTGCAGAAGAGGAGCTTACAAGGTTTAGAGTTTAGGGTGTAGGGTTTAGGGATTACAAAAAAACCTGAACCCAAAAGGAGTGGCCTTGCAAATTGGGGGCCTCCGATACATGGAAGCCTGCACGGTACTGTCGGGGCGAGGGGTTAGGGCTTGGGGGGTTTTAGGGTTTAGGGTTGAGGGTTCAGGGTTTGGGGTTTAGGGTAAGGGTTTAGGGATGTTTAGCGTATAGGGTTTAGGGTTCAGGGTTCAGGGTGTAGGGGAGACCCATTCTGCTGGCAGATGCCGGCACTGTACTTTTGCCTGGGCGTGCAGCTTCTTAAAGCCCCCATGTTGCACCAGACTGTGCCGCTTCGCACTGCACGTTCCCCTAAACCCCAAACCGTAAACCCTATACCGTAAATCCTAAACCCTAAACCCTAAACCCTATTCTCACACCCTTAACCCTGACCCTGATCCCACAGCGGGATCCGCTTTTGAAGGACTCAAGCTGGCGGGCTGTTTCGGTGTTTACTATCCACGGCTGGGTGCCAGGTTCGTTGAGATTCCCAAAAGCCTGTTACTGTATCATGTGCTGCCAGATCTCATTGTAAGGCTTAGTAAGGTTTCGATGTCAGATTAATGATTTAAGGTATAGATGGAGAAATAGCGCACTGTGTTGAAGCTTCACGCAATGTCCTGCTCGCTGCATGCAGCAGCAGCTGTGTTGGCTTCAAGAAATGCATGTCATGCAGATTATGTGAGTAACATCAGTTCCTGAAGACGTTTCAAATCGAATTGTCAATAGAATCCTCTATGGTACCGTATGTCTTTTGCACATAGCACCTGACTTGCTGTCAAGCGCAGGCGCTCGTTGTGGATAATGCAGCTGCTCTACCACTCCTTTTGGCTCTCCGCTACTGAGGCAGCAGACCTGCTGGAGAGGTTCCCACTCGAGAGCAGCGCCTGGAGTACGGCGCATCCGGGCGGCAGGGCGGACGAAGGAGGTGCACGAAGAGTTCAGCAATGGGGGTTTGCTTTCGACTATGCGCTTTACGAGCTGGCCAAAGAGACGCCGGGCGTCGTTCCACTGACGCGTCGAGATGCCATGCCGAAGTGGTTGCAGGAGATTGGCAACCGAGCTTTTGAGGCCCTGGGCTTTAAGAGCAATCCCAGCCAGGTCATCGTGAATGAGTACCTCGATGGACAAGGTATTGGGGCGCACGCCGACCACCCGTGCTTCGGGCCAGAGATCGCCATCGTGTCTCTGGGGGACCCCATGGTCATGAGCTTCTCCAGGCGTCAGGATATCCCTACAACTTCAGGGCAAGAAGACCTCCCTGCAACTTTTGGGGGACCTTCCGAAAACTTCAGCGTTCCCTTGGTGCACGGCTCGCTTCTGGGCCTGTCCGATGACCTGCGCTGGAACTGGTTGCACAGCATAGCCCCCAACCAGCGTTTGCTGCGCAGAGTTTCTCTTACCTACCGTACCATCCAGGACACGGCCCTACAAGCGATGGGTGAGTCGACCCAGACCCCCGAAGGGATCTAACGAGATAGATCCCCCACGGTCACATGTGGATCATAGTCAGGTTATGAGTGTGGATTGACTAGATGGGTTTTGATAGGGGATCCCCAAACCCCAAACACAACCCTACATGAAGGACTAACATGGATGTTTTATAGCGGAGCTATTGTCTAGATCCATCTGCGGGTCTGGGAAGTGTCAGCTGGTGCACTCAATTCAGCAAGGGGACCTCGAGCATTGCTCAATGGAGAAGCCCACTGCTGCAAGCCCGGAGAGCCCAATACTCCTTCATTAATATAGCCTATACACTTAGCTTAAATCATAATATGAACTTAAATAAGGCCGGTGTCATCCTCGTCATCTGCATGTTGAGCGGTGGATTTTGTTTAGGGCTGGGACCTTAGTGCAGGGGTGTTTGCGCTCTCTGGGAGCAGCTTTCTGTGCAGCAGGGAGTTTCCAGTCTAAAGGTATCTATAAACCCTACAGCCTAAACCCTAAACCCTAAACCTTCTAATGGTTCTTTAAGGGTATCCATGTGGGTTTTCCAAAGGCAGGTTAGCGGTGCACTCATGGGTTTAGGGCCTGTTTGGGGTTTTAGGGCTTACTGGGTAAAGTTTAGGGTTTAGGGTTCACTTATGGTCAAGGTTCCCACACCCTATGCTCGTTGTGTAGGAACCTAGATGACCCTCGCATGGAACATCCGAAATACTTAAAGACTTAAAGGTTCATAGGACTGAGTAAGCAAGGTTCTAAGTAAGGTTATAGTTGGATAACCGTACTCAGGGCATTGTCGCCCCCATCATAACGCTACTTACTAAGCCCCCTGCGCCTTCAAGTAGATTTGCAAGGATAAGGCCTTTAACAGACAGCGGTGCTCCGTGCAGCAGAGGAAAGACCCCTGTCCAGAGGCCGGTGATGGAACCTCTCCGCGACCTTACCCCAAACCCTAAACCCTAAACCGTTTACCCCCAGAACGGATCAAAACTCCTAAGGCTCTGAGACTTCAGGTGTTTGGGGTCTTACACGCTTTCCATCGTGAACCCTACTGCACATTCTCAGTGCTGACGGCGTGGATCGGCCTACAAAACATATAATTTCTGATAATCCCAATCACTGCAGTTAGAAACCTCAGTTACCACGGCCAGAGTAAAACTCTGCCCAACAAGCGATGGTCGCAAGTAGTGTAACCCTACACCGTAGACCCTAAACCCTAAACTCCTAAACCCTAAACCGTGGTGTTTCTTGAAAATAGAACTCGGCTGCAGAGTTCACGACGAAGGAATGCAACCTAAACCCTACAGCCCTAAACCCTGAAGCCCTATCCTAAAGCCCTAAAGCCCTAAAACCGTAAACCCTGAACCCTAAAGCCCAAAAGCCCTAAAGCCCTAAAGCCCTAAAGCCCTAAAGCCCTAAAGCCCTAAAGCCCTAAAGCCCTAAAGCCCTAGACCCTAAAACCTTTAAGCCCTAAAGCGCTCAAACCCTAAAGCCCAAAAGCCCTAAAACCCTAAAGCCCTAAAACCCTAAAGCCCTAAAGCCCTAAAACCCTAAACCCTAAAACCTTTAAGCCCTAAAGCCCTCCAACCCAAAAGCCCTAAACCGTTCAAGATCCAACTGGGTGGTTATCAAAATTATGGTCCTTTTTTGGGTCCTTACTATAATACGGCACCTACTATTCAGGGTACCTCAAAAGGGACCATAAAATTGACAACTACCCAACTATGTTCCGGTCGAAGAGCTCCAGGGATGGCGGAAGGCTTCGGATGTTTGGTTTCCGGGTTTAGGGGGTTTTGGGGGTTAGGGTTTTGGTGGTTTAGGGTTTAGGGTTTAGGGTTTAGGGGTTTAGGGTTCAGGGTTTAGGGTTTAGGGTTTACGGGGTTCCGGGTTTAGGGGGTTTTACGGAGGTGTTTGGGTTTAAGGCTTGTTGTTTAGGGTTTGGACTTGAGGCCCTAAACCCGAAACCCTGTTTGAGGCTTGGGGTCTTCGAGTTTTCAATCCAGGGTTCCGGGTTTAGAGTTTAGATGTAAAGTTTGGTTTGCCACCGTAGACCCCTACACCCCAAGAATTTGAGCCCCAAAAAGTATTTAAAGGCTCATGGGACTTAGTAAGTCAGGTCATATGTAAGGTAGTAATTCGGATAGCTCTTCTTAAACTACTCATAACCCTAAACCCTAAACCTTAAACCCCTAAACCCTAAACCCCTAAACCCTAAACCCTAGACCCGTAGGTCCTTTGAGTCCTTAGGCATAGAAGCCTGCCATCCCTAAGCTTAGAGCCCTAAACCCTAAACCCTGAACCCTAAACCCTAAACCCTAAACCCTAAACCCTAGACCCTAAACCCTAAACCCTAAGCCTTCCAGGACACTACTGGGCACTTCATCTTCGCCGAGCTCTCGGCCGGCTTAGACAACTCGGACCACTGCGCGGTGCAATCTTCCGAGGAGCCTGGGAAGGCTTCTGCTGCTAGTAGTAGTAGTAGTAGTAGTAGTAGTAGTAGTAGTAGTTGGTAGTAGTAGTAGTAGTACTACTACTACTACGACGACGACTACTACTACTACTCCTGCTACTACTACTACTACTACTACTACTACTACTACTCCTAAGACGACGACGGCTGCGTCGTGACCTGGGGCCATGCACTCGGTGGCGGTGACAGTAGTGCTCTGAGAGATCAGCTTAGCTGCGACTAGACAATGTTCTGTTCAGAGTAGGGTTAAGGGTTGTGTAAACCCTAAACCTCAAACCCTAAAAGTTTTGGCGAAGGATGACGGAACAATGGGCCCAACGTCTGGTGGAGGGGAGGTTTCTTGTCTTGTGTATGCGAAGTTTGGGCTGGCATTGTGGTCTTAAAACCGTTTAAGGTTAGCTCTTGGTTACTACTATGTTCATCGCTGATTTCAGCTTGATCTTGTTGAGTCGAGGGGCCGGACGCCGTGAATGAGAGCTCGGTGGTTTGTTGTTGGGTGCCCAAATGCTTTGAGAGATTTGGGTTTAGGTCTCAGAGGATGTGGCAGAAAAGGTTCGGTTTCGGGCAGCCGCAGCAGCAGCAGCAGCAGCAGCAGCAGCAGCAGTTGTTGTGGCTTCGTCGTCGTCGTCGCCGCTAGTGCTAGTGCTGTTGCTTTGTTGCTATGGTTATGCTGCATTCTTCAATTTCTCACTTCTCACTGTTCTTGGTTGTGGTGGAGCCATCGTCATGGTCGTCGTCGTCCTGGCCGTAGGATTTTTCCACTCCCTCTGAAACCCCGCCCGAAGTCTTCAAAAGCAAGTGTGGAAGCAAAACAAACACCGATTTTATCCCTTCGGGTTTTTATAATAATAATAATAATAACAATAATAATAATAACGGTTTAGGGCCAGGGTTTAGGTTTTAATATCTGAGCCAGGATCGGCACTTTTGTACATTAAACCCTTTTCGTAGCCCTCAGAGGGGTTTAAGTCCTAGGGTTTAGGGATGTTGAGGGTTAGCCGTCAAAGGAATTTTCTTGAAAGTGAATCCTATTCTGCAGAACCTGATAGTAAGCCTTTTTCAGCACCCGTTTAAAGGAGGCCCTGTTCTAACTGTTAAGTCTCCTAACAATGAGGCCCGAACCCCTACAGCCTAAGTCCTGAATCCTAAAGCCTCAACCCTGAATCCTAAACCCTAAACCCTGAACCCTAAACCCTAAAACCGTACATCCTAAACCCTAAACCCTGAATCCTAAGCCCTAAACCCCAAACCCTAAAGCCTTTACTAGTCAGCCTGTCATGAGGAGCGCTGGTCTGAGACGGTAGCCGGCACGCAACCATCGGGCACACTGGCGCGGGGCTAAGGGGGTCCACGGCTTAGGCTTTGGGTTTAGGGGTTTTGGGTTTAGGGTTTAGGTGTAGGCTTAGGGTGTCTTAGACCCTAAACCCTAGTTCAGCGTGGGGCGTTTTAGGATGTTGAGTTTAATGTGCCGGCCCGTTTGATACAATGGGCTTCTATAACGCGTTATTTCGCTAATTCAGGCCGGGACCAAAAATTCGGGCGGCCTAATTCATGCGTTTTGTTTTTAGGGCCTGGTGATTTTGGGGTTGTGTTGTTTCCTTTCTAGTAAAGGTCAATCTTAAAGCAGCCAGGACCTACAACCCAATTCCAAAACCTAATCCCCTGGCCCTGAAGCCTGAAACTCTACCTAAACCCATTACACTACTACTGTACTACTGTACTACTGTACTACTGTACTACCACTGTATACCACTGTACTACTACTGTACTACTTTTACTGTACTACTGCACTACTACTGTACTAGTACTGTACTACTGCACAGTACCAGGCCTCAGATTTCGTCGATTTTGGAGGGGAGTGTAGGCTGGAGGGAAAAGTCTTCAAAATGAAAGGGTTTCAGTGGTGGTAGTTATCTTGGAGTGATCGGGTGCACAGTACCAGGCCTCAGATTTCGTCAATTGTGGAGTGGAGTGCAGGCTGGAAAGAAATACGTTGAGAATGCAAGGATGTTACTGGTGACAGTTATGTTGGAGTGATCCGGGCTTGGTTTCGAGCTTTGGCTACACAGCTCTAGGTACCCCTAAACCTTCGTACTGTATTACTGCTGTACTACTACTGTACGAGTGTACTACTACAGGACTACTGCACTACTACTGCACTTCTACTGTACTACTATACTGTACTACTGCACTACTACTGTACTACTCATGTGCTGCTCTACTACTACTACTACTACTACTACTACTACTACTGCTACTACCACCCTATTCAGCCGAGCCCTTCACTTCCGGCCCCTCCGACGCCTTCGCAAGCTCCAGGGAGCCTGATTTCTATTATGTTGGCACCTCCGAGTGTGCCCCCCTTCGAGCTCGGCACCTCCGAATGTGGCGGCACCTCCGAACGTGCCCCCTTCGAGCTCGGCACCTCCGAATGTAGCCGGCCTTGGTTAGACTACGGCCGAAAAGGGTTTACTCTCCCAGGCCTAAACCCTAAGTTCAACCCTACACCTGAGACCCTACAAGGGCTCAAGGGACTTAGTAAGTCGGCTTGTACTTGGGCTTATAGGTACCCTAAGTAGGGTTATCCTAGTTAGAACCTTACTTATAACCTTACTTACAAAGTCCCATGAGCCTTTACGTAGATCCTAAATTCTGAACCTTAACCTTCAAGTGGGTAGGTCTCTAAATTAGGGTCCCTTTTAGGGTCGTTTTTTATAAGGGTGCCGCACTATGTTGCGGACCTAAAAAGGGGACCCCTAAACCCTAAACCCTAAACCCTAAACCCTACCTTAATTTAGAGAACTACCCAAGTCGATTTCGGAGCCTCCTGGACAGGCCCGGCCCTCCTCCACAGCCGCAACGCAGACTTCGGATTCCTACTACGAGGCGTTTAGGGTTTAGGGTTTAGGGTTTAGGCTATCTTCGGGTTTCATATCTGGGTGCATATACTTGGCGGGTCGTGGGGCTTAGGAAGTAGATACTAAGTAGAGATTTAAGTACCCTAAACGGGATCCTAATTGGGGTTATGGTACTTATAAGTCTTTACTAACTAGTTACTAAGTCCCCCGACCCTCCAAGTAGGGTTTAGGGTTCATAGTACGGTAGGGGTTTTTTTTAAAGGCAACATTCGCGCCGAGAGCAAAGCAGCCTAAACCCTCCAGCTCCGGTGAGTGGCGAGGAGCCGTCATCCGAAGAGCTTGGATACTGCCCCCAGTCGTTTAGGGTTTAGGGTTTAGGGTTTAGGCAATAACAGTTGACTTTTTTCTACAACATAGATATATTAGGCCCAATATAGAGCCGTTAGCCCTGCTCTAGACTGTTAAGCGGGCTGCAGGCAGGAAAAGAGGCAAGGGGCAGCTTAAGCCGATCAGGAATTTCAGCGACCTGGGGACTTAGTAGGTAGGGTTCGGTTTAAGGTTTAGGGTTTAGGGTTTAGGTAGGGTTGTAGTTGGGCTTATAAGTTCCCTAAGTAGGGCGATCCTAATTCCAACCTTACTTGTAGCCTTAGTTGCTAAGTCCCATGAGCCTTTAATAAGGGAAGGAGATGGCGGAACAGAGCAAACTGGAGGAGACGAAAAGGCAAACCCTAAACCCTTAAAGGAACCCTAAACCCTAGACCTTAAAGCCTTAAAGGAACCCTAGACCCCCAAAGCCTTTGAAGGAGCCCTAAACCCCCTAAACGCTCAACCCTACACCTGCTGCCTTCCCTTCGGATGCAATTAAGGGGTTTAGGGTTTAGGGTTGAGGGTCATAGTACGAAGCCCCTTAAAGGAACCTAGAAGAGATCCACAGGAGTTCCTTAAAGGGCGCTTTTAAAGCTTCCCCTGAAGGGATTAAACCCTAAACCCTAAACCCTAAACCCTAAACCCTACCTTGAGACCTTAAGGGTCCATTTTCACTTTAATGTATATTCCATGACAGTTAAGGGGTATTGGAATCCCTAAACTATACAACCTAGGCTTAGGGTTTTAGGTTTAGGGTTTAGGGTTTAGGGTTTAGGGCTAAATCCTAAACCCCAAGCCCTATATTTCTTAACAAAGGGGTATTGGACTGCCTAAAACTTAAACCATACAGCCTAAACCCTAAACGCCAAACCCTATATTTCTTAGCAAAGGGGTATTGGACTCCCTAAAACCATAAAACCTCGGCCTAAACCCTAAACGCCAAACCCTATATTTCATAACAAAGGGGTATTGGACTCCCTAAACTATAAAACCTCGGCCTAAACCCTAAACGCCAAACCCTATATTTCTTAACAAAGGGGTATTGGACTCCCTAAACTATAAAACCTCGGCCTAAACCCTAAACGCCAAACCCTATATTTCTAAACAAAGGGGTATTGGACTCCCTAAACTATAAAACCTCGGCCTAAACCCTAAACCCCAAGTCCTATCTTTCTGAACAAAGAATCCTGCCAGATGGCTCCTGCGCAGCCGCCGCCGGATTCTCCGAACTCGGAGAAGGACTGGGCAGGGTTGGAATTAGGGCTCAGGTGGGGTTTAGGGCTTAGGTAGGGTTTAGGGTTTACTTGCTTAAAGGCTCATGGGACTTAGTCAGTAATTTTGTGAGTAAGATTATAATTAGGGCTTCCCTACTTAAGGTACTTGTAAACCCAGTTACAACCCGACTTGCTCAGTTTCTTAGCCCTTAAGTAGGGTTCAGGGCTTAGGGTTTAGGCCTGGCCATGAAGCCAGAGCTTAAGCAGAGGTTTAAACAAAGTTTCAGGGTTCAGGGATTTGCTTGGGGCTGAAGGTAAACCCTAAACCCCGAAACCTAGGCCCTATAGGCCATAGACCTGCAAGTCGCAACATACTGTTTACGGCTTAGGGTTTAGGGTTTAGGGCTTTGGGTTTGGGGTTTAGGGCTTTGGGTTCAGGGTTAAAGGTTCAGGGTGTGAGGTTTAGAGTCCTGGCTGTTTGTTTATCAAACTAATCGTTTATGGTCCAGGGAAGTCTTCAAAGCTTCAAACTTGTTCCTACCTTAAGAACCCAAAACCCACTTTTTTGTAGGTTCTTATTATAAACCCTAATATGGGATTTATAGGGATCCTACAAAAAAGTAGGTTTGGGGTTCTTAAGGTAGATCCAGAGGCCTTAGTCCTATGCCCTAGACCCTAAGTTCCTAAACTCCCAAACCTCCCAAACACCTCCGCCCCAAACCCTGACCAACCTATAAAAGCCTATAGAATAAATCCCTCTAGAACTAACCCTTAACCCTAAACCCTACACTCTGAATCTACGAAACCCTCTAAGGCCCCCAGAGAGCCCTTCTAAACTCGGCAAACCCTCCGGTCGCCCGACGAGCGCGGCCTTGCCGCTGACCTAGCCGTCCGAGGAATCGATCTTGCATCCTGGTTCCTTGTAGTATGTAGCAGTATTTCAGAATCAGTTTAGGGTTTAGGGGGATTTAAGCATATTAGAACAGATACTATGCAGCCATGTACAGTCTAATCTAAGAATGTGAGTCTAATCTCTCGATAAGCAGCGGGCTCTTCCGGCGCAGAGGCCCCGACACAGCAAGGGACACACGTAAACGACAGTACAAGTAGCTTCTCCTGCTTCCTGTCATCAAAGAAGCAGGCAGAGGAGGGCCAACTGACCGACTTCGTGTTCGGAAGTGACCCTAGAACCTTAACCCCTAGGCCCTGAATCGTGCCTCGCTCGTAACAGTATGGGTGTGAGGTGGGGCACAGCTGGGACCAAGTCCCGTCGTTGTGGTGCCGGCGAAGACCTGGCACAACTGTGCTCTACGGCATATGAGCCTGCTTTCATACTCCTAGTTTTCTTACGTGTGTGATTTAAGCGTACGAGTACGTCGAGATAGTCCATGTGTGTGTGTGTGCAGGTATGTATGCATGTATGTATGTATCTATGTATGTACGTATGTATGTAATTATGCATGTATGTACACAGACATACTCACCCGCCACTTGTTTTGAATCTTCGGCCGTGTTGTGCCAGGCGAAGGCCCTGGTGTTGACCTCCACCTTGACAACCTCCACTCGCAGTCGAATGGCTTCCACGGAGGTACCCCGACTCGTTCGTTGGGAGTAGTTGGTTTTATCCGTCCTACAAGGTTTCTACACGGGTTCTAAAGGTTTTCGGTGTTCACTGTTGGTTTCAAGCATTGTTTTCTTGTCAGGGTTTAAAGTTTCTGGTTTGTTGTTTAGGAGTCAAAACCCTAAACCCTAAACCGTTGAGCGTATGTAAGCTTTCGGGGTCAGGAGCTGCAAAAGCCTCGGGGGGTCTGTTGTTTAGGGGTTTAGGATTTAGGAGCTCGGGCTTGGGGTTTAGGGTTTAGGATTTGGGGTTCAGGTTTAGGGTCTAAACCCTAAACCCTAAACCCTTTGGGTTTGGGGAGTACGGTTTCGGGCGCAATAATGTAGGGGCCTAAATACTTAGAATAGGGTTTTTGGGGTGTATTATATTATGCTTATAATAAGCAACCCCCAAAATAGTATAGGTTATTATTTAGGCGCCTATCTTACATCCCTACTTCCTATTCTTTGATTTTTCATTCCTCTAAATGAAACCTCAAACGACGACCCTAAACCCTAAACCGTTCTAGGAGTTGCCAGCAAAGCCTCAAAGCAAAGACCCCTATACCAGAACTCCACACTTACTAAAACCAGCAACTCTAAACCCTAAACCCGAAAACCTCCAAGCGGAACCCATCAGCTGCATACTCCCACGGTTGATGATATAAGTCCTGCATTACCCATAGTAGGGAATATACCATACTTCCCATAGTTTAGGGGTCCGAAGGTAATGCAGGGTTTATATCATCAACAGTAGTTCCCAAATCCGGAATGCAAGCTCCTAAACCCGAACCTGTACTTGGGGGTTTAGGGTTTGGGGTTGAGGGTTTAGGGCGAAGGCTCCTACGATCAAACTTCGTCGTTGCGTAGGTCGTTGTTGAGCATGTTCGTCCTAGCCCCAGTACAACAGTACCATTAAGTAAAAGACTTTGTTTCGGCGGGACCCTGAACCCTAAAGCCTCAAACCATAAACCCTCAAATCCTAAACCCTAAACCTAAACCCTCAAACCCCAAACCCTAAACCCTCAAATCCTAAACCCTCGAATCCTAAACCCTCAAATCCTAAACCCTAAACCCTCAAACCCTAAACCCTCAAATCCTAAACCCTTCAGCCCTAAACCCGAAACTCCTAAACCCTTAACCCTGAAATCCTAAACCCCAAACCCTCAAACCCTCAAATCCTAAACCCTGAAGCCCTAAACCCTAAACCCTCAAAGCAAGACCAGTGAGCATCGGCCTGGCAGGTATTGGGTTCGGGGAGCTTAGGGCTTTAAGGGGTTAGGGGCTTAGGGCTTAAGGGTTTGGGGCTTAGGGCTTTAAGGGGTTAGGGGTTTAGGGCTTTAAGGGGTTTGGGGTTTAGGGTTTAGGGGTTTAAAGTTTAAGGGTTTAGGGTTTAGGGTTTAGGGTTTAGGGTTTAAGGGTTTAGGGTTTAGGGCTTTAAGGGGTTTAGGGGTTTAGGGCTTAAGGGTTTGTGGTTTAGGGCTTAAGGCGTTTGGGGTTTAGGGCTTAAGGGTTTGGGGTTTAGGGTTTTGGGGTTTAGGGTTAAAGGTTTGGGGGTCTAGGGTTTAGGGTTTTGGGGTTTAGGGGTGGTTTTAGGCTTCAGGGAGTTTAGGGTTTGGGGTTTAGGAATGGTTTCACGGTCTAGGGTCTACGGTTGAGTAGAAGGTGGATATACACTGCGCGTACATGAACCCTATATAAACAAGCGATTTAATAAGACCTCTGAGCCCCTACAAAAGCCTATAAAACCCTATGAACCCCTGTCATAGAACCCATTAAGGAATCGCTTAAATAATTAAAGGGTCAAGCCTCTGCGGCTGAGGTACCCTCGCCACGCGTCTACTCGGCCTACGACCCGAGCCCGGCCATTCGTCTTAATTCATCGGTTGAGAACATATTTAGGGTTTGTTTTTAGGGTTTAGGGTCATATATGATTACACACCGGCCTTAATATATAAGAGTTCCTTCAAAGCCGAGATGTATGCTATATGGGTCCATGGACCCGTGCGGGAGGTGGTTTCCTTCGTGGCTCAGTATCAACTCCTAGTAACCCGCAACCCTGAATCCCAAGCCCTAAACCCTGAAAGCTTAGATCCGAAACCCCTAGGAAAAGAGTCCTCAACACAAACAAAAAACTGAAAGCCAAAAAACCCTAAACCCTAAACTTAACACAACAAAGCAAAAGAAAGCTTAAATCCTAAGTGCCACACCCCAACCTTAAGGGCCGAGTAGGTGACCTTTGACCTTGTTTTGCTTATGTAATCCTACTGAAATTCTTAGAAGGAAACTCTGAGAGGGAGCCCTCAAAAAAAAGGTTTTATTAATAGGGTCCTAAACCTAAACCCTAAACCCTGCACTCCAAACCCTAAACCCTAAACCCTGCACCCTAAACCCTTAACCCTGCACCCTAACCCTAAACCGTAAACCCTAAACCCTAAACCCTAAACCCTAAACCCTGCACCCTAAACCCTAAACCCTAAACCCTAAACCGTAAACCCTAAACCCTAGTCCAGTAGAGTTTAGCGTCCAGGACTTGGGGTTTAGGGTGGGGGCACCCTGACACTTACGTAGGCTGAAGGATCCGTTGCTTTGGTGTTAGGGTTTAGGGTTTAGTTTAGGGGTGGTTCTGGGCTTTTGGGGCTTTGTGGCGTTAAGGGCTTAGAGGCTTGGGGGTTTGGGTTTGGGGTTGTTGGTTTGAGTTGTGTTTTTAGTTGCAGTTCTTTTGAGCAACCAAGCTGTTAAATGATGGTACCTGGATTCTGGTCAACCCTGGACCCTCATCACATGCACCCTCGAAAAAAGTCAGTGTTGTTTCGTGGCACTTTTTTAACTCGACAAGAGTAGGCTCGAGTGCCTTGTTCCACGTGCCCCAAAACCTAAAGCTTAAACCCAAAACAAAGCTGAAAGAAACCCCAAACCCAATCCACGCCAACAGAGCCAAGACTAGACTTGCACAACCCGAAACACCCAACCATGAGCCTCACGGTATACCCAGAACAGATTTGTGAAAAGATGTCCCATTCGGGGTTTAGGGTGTAGGGTTTGAGGTAGGAAGTTTCCTTTTTTGGGGTTTAGGGTTTGGGGTAACATGTTCGGGTCCAGGGCGCAGGAACCAATTTTCTTTTTGCAGTGGAAGGTTCTGCCTCTTGGAGTGGGGGTTTTCAAACAGTTTTTGCATACATGCACTATAGTGTGTACTTTGATATGAAGATGAGAGCATGTAACATGGCTAAGCCGGTGAAAACGAGAGAGACGTCGTTGGGCACCTGGTGGCGATATTTTCTCGCTCTCAAGCAACTTAGCAAAGGCGATTGTCCTGTAATTTACTCTATGGGCCCCGCCATATTATCGAACCTTCGCAGACCGCCTTATAGAATCCTTTTAGAAGCCTAACTTCTGTTTTAGAAACACAACAGAAATTCCTTGGTGCCGTTGGTTGGTCACAACAACGACCGCGACCACACGGCGACAGCGACGACCAAGACGTGACTGCGGCCGCAACCGCAACCTTGACCTCGACGACCCCGCCGACCTTGACGACGACGACGACGACGACGACGACTGCTGCCAGTCCCAGTGCTGCTGCCTACTGTCACCGCCGCGAATGCTAACACAGGCCCGAGGCTAGTTTTCCTCGCGCATCTCAAGGAAGGCCTAAGTGAACATCTCCTTGCCTTTATGCACAAAGCTTGGCAGCAATCTATCACAAATCGTTCATCTAAGTGCAATCATAGCGTCGGCAGGATTCAACGATGTCTTGGCTTGATCGGTTTTGGACTTCTGCCAGAGCCCGCAGAAATCAATGCTGGCAGACATCAGGTTGCAACTATCACTGCACTGGTTGTCGATATTCTGCTCCTTTTGATCTGATTAGCCCGAGTCGATGCAGTAGCAGTTGAAGTGAAGGTATCTACGGCATTCAGCATGTTGGCCATGAGCTGATCCGAAGCTGGAGCCTTTGTCATGTCATTTATTCGACGCCTCTCCTCTTGTTTAGGAGGTTTGGGCCGTGCCTCAGATGCTAACCCTGAAGCCTCACTGACGCTGGAGGTAAGCCTCCTAAGTGGCAAGACAGTGTCCCTGGAGACGAACTGGGACGAATCCGTGGATTTGCTACGGGTTCGCGCGCAGAGAGCTCTGGGAGCTGGCAGAGGCCGACTTTTGAACTCCAGGGGCATAGTTCTTGACGAAGGAGGTCCGCTAAAGATCTGGCTGCAGAAGCCGGAGCCTCTAACGTTCCAGGTTGGACCGTTGGCTATTCAAGCCACTAAGAACCAGAAAAATGCCTTCGCTGCGATCCTAGGGGATGGCTCTGCCATGACCTGGGGCCCTCGTGACGGAGGTGGCAACAGCACTAGCATCCGAGATCAGCTGAAGAATGTGCAGCAGATTCAAGCAACCGAGCAGGCTTTTGCCGCAATCCGTGCTGATGGCTCCGTCGTGGCCTGGGGCCATGCTGAGGAAGGTGGCAGCAGCAGTAACGTCCGAGATCAGTTGAGGAATGTGCAGCAGATTCAAGCAACTAGGACAGCCTTTGCTGCGATCTTAGCGGATGGCTCTGTCGTGACATGGGGAAATGCTTGGGGTGGTGACAGCAGTGCTGTGCGAGATCAGCTGAAAAATGTGCAGCAGATTCAAGCAACTGCGTACGCCTTTGCTGCCATCCTGGGTGATGGCTCGGTCGTGACCTGGGGCGGTGCCGTTTTGGATAACAACTGTGGTGGTGACAGCAGTGCCGTGCGAGCTCAGCTGAAGAATGTGCAGCAGATCCAAGCAACTAATTCTGCCTTTGCTGCTATCCTTGATGATGGCTCCGTCGTGGCCTGGGGCTTTGACCCCAGCGGTGGTGACAGCAGTAGCGTCCGAGATCAGCTGAAGAATGTGCAGCAGGTGCAAGCAAATGCGTTTTCGTTTGCTGCGATACTCGGGGACCGATCTGTCGTGACCTGGGGTGCTGATGCCTGTGGCGGTGACAGCAGTGGCGTTCGAGACCAGCTGAAGAAGGTGCAGCAGATTCAAGCAACTGAAAGGGCCTTTGCTGCGATCCTTGTAGATGGCTCCGTCGTGACGTGGGGCCGTGCGAGCTATGGTGGTGACAGCAGTGCTGTGCAAGATCGGCTGAAGGACGTGCAGCGGATTCAAGCAACTCATTACGCCTTTGCTGCGATCCTGGGTGATGGCTCCGTGGTGACCTGGGGAGATCCTTGCGGTGGCGACAGCAGTGCGGTGCGAGATCAGCTGAAGAACGTGCAGCAAATTCAAGCAACATCACAAGCGTTTGCTGCTATTCTTGGTGATGGCACTGTGGTGACCTGGGGTGCTGATGCTTGTGGCGGTGACAGCAGTTACGTGCGAGATCGCTTGAAGAATGTGCAGCAGATTCAAGCGAGTAATTCGGCCTTTGCTGCGATCCTGGGAGATGGGTCCGTCGTGACCTGGGGTCCCGACGGCGCCGAAGCCTTCGGTGGTGACAGCAGCGCTATGCGGGATCAGCTGGAGAATGTGCTGCAGACTCCAACTTCTTGAAATGCATTGCTTGGGTCCTTCGTCGTGACCTGCGTGCGATCTCTTACCTATCGATCATTGCCAAAAAGCCGCTTTTAACAGGAACCTGATGAAGAAAATTGTTGCTAGGTTCTGACCTTAGGGGCTGTGTAGGTAACACTAAACCCCGAACCCCTAAACCCTAAACCCTTAACCCCCTTCTTGATTACACAGAACTCTGCCACAAGAAGGCTAAGCCGTTCTGGGCTAAAATCTTCAGCCCCTAAGTTGACGGTTTAGGGTTAAGGGTTTAGGGTTTGATGATGCTGTCAGTCTTAAGCTTACTCTTGTCATTATCATTACTCTTTGTCATGTTCATTAACAGTGTCGGTGTCACTATCATTGTCAGTACCATTAGCATTATCACCGTCACGATCATGATGATGATTATTCTTTTTGTGGTTATTATTGCTATGTTTAAGTTGAGAGCCCAACACCCCTGGACTAAGGAATATAGCTTAACTCATGATATGAAGCCGCTTGTAATGTAAGGTATACTCCTTAAGCAAGGGGTGTTGGGCTATCTAGAGACGTGGGGCAGCAAGACAGGAACCTTATACCTTCCACCCCTATGCCCTATACCGATACCCTAAAGCCCCTAAAGCCCTCATGTCCCAAACTCAAATCTTTTGGACAAGGCTAAAGTAGACCCGCAGTCTAGAGACCCAAAGCCTTGACCCAAAGCCCTAAACCCTAAACCGCAAAACCTGATCCATCCCTTAACCTTGCGACGTCGCTTGGGGACTTGGCTTTGTTGGTTTCGGGCGAGACCCCTAAACCCGAAAGCCTAAAACCTAAATCCTAAACCCCTAAACCCTAAAAACCCTAAAAAACCCTAAAACCCTAAACCTTAAATTCGTGGGTTGAGTGTTTGAGGCTTAGGATTTCGCAAGGACTTCGGGGGAAAGTGTCCTCAAAGGCTCCATTGAATGCAGCAGTCTATAGGATTTAGGGATTTAGGACTCCGGGATTTAGGATCTAGGGTTTGTTTAGGATTTAGGGTTTAGGGTTTTGGGGGTGTAGGGGTTTAGGAGTTTAGGGTTTAGTGTTTAGGATTGCTGTACGGGTTGCTATGCTGATAATGTTACTGTCGCTGCACTGGTTGCTCCAAAGGTTGCTGTAAGGCAGGGTTAGCTGACAACTCCCAGTTGCGAGAGGTTGGAGGAGTTCACCCTAAACCCTAAACCGTTCAGGGTCTTTATAGATTATTACCGTTTAGTTGGGGCTCAGGGTTTCAGGCCCTTTGGGCTTCAAGGGGAAGTGATGCGACATTCGCAGCCGACGGCATGACGTTTTAGAGCTGTAATATAGGGGCCTTAATAATCAGAATAGGGGTTTGGGTTTAGGGTAATAATTAGAATAGGGTTTAGGGGTCCGGTATACTACAATCATAAGAAGGAACCCCCAAACTAGTGTTGGTCATTATTCAGGTACCCTAAACCCTAAACCCTAAAACCCCAAACCCTAAACCCCAAACCCTAAACCCTAAACCCTACATTAGGAGCCTTGAGGAGTGCAGGGTTTCTAGAGTCTCTCAGGGCTTGAAAAGGGTTTAGGGGATTCCAGGTTAAGGGTCTCGGCTTCTTAGGGTTTAGGGTTTAGGGCCGTAGGGGTTTAGGGCTTAAGGGTTTAGGGTTTAGGTTGGTTTAGGGCCTTCGGGGTTTTAGGGTTTAGGGTTTAGGGTGGTTTAGGGCCTTCGGGGTTTAGGGTTTAGGGTGTTGGGAATCCTTTCAGTGTTCTTGTTCGGTTTTCGAACGGGTGCTGCGGGCTGCGAGGCCAATTTGGCAAAAGAGTATCACCGCTACGATCCTGATATCGCACCTCGGAGTGAAGATCGCATATATTGGGGTTCAGGGTTTATAGGGTTTAGGGAGAGGTTCTTTTTCCCTAACTGCGGGTTTTTTCGGACTCATAAGGTTTCGGTACCGGTGTGCAGGAAGCAAGCTCAGTACTTAGCAAGATCGCCCCACGAAGCCCCCAGATTGGACAGATACCCCCGAACCTACTCCAGCCAGTTCGGTCCCTCATGCCAGCCAAAGCCTTGGCTGAACTGTAACGCGATAGTCCCAGACAGCCCAATACCCCTCAATTAAGGAATATAGCCTGGTATATTCCTAAGTTAAGGGGTATTGGGCTCTCTGGATGTAACACAACTGACAATAGCATTATTTTCGCGTGGTGCTGCAGTGGGGAGCGAATCCGAAGCTATAGGTAAACCATATCCTCGTGTAGGGTTTCGGATTTATGGGGCATTTTCAATTTTGAAACCCCTGTATGAAGTCCCGCGAGAAGAACAGCAGTAGCTAGTATGCAAGCCTGGCCACTGTTGGAGCAATCTCGAAAATACCAGATGAACCCGTGAGCCTAATCTACACTCTGAACCACAGATAACCCTAAACCCTAAACCGTAAACCCTAAACCCTAAACCACAGATAACCCCGTTAGAGCCAACATGCCCCAAAGCCCAAAGCGCGCCCTTCAACACAACGAGCAGCTAGAAAGTTGAGAACTTGCGGCTTTGCCGCTTTAAGTAGTGTTTAGGGTTTAGGGTTGAGGGTTTAGGGTTTAGGGCTACTTAAGGGCTGAGGGACTTAGTAGGCAGGATATAAATCGGGATTCAAGTCCCCTAAGTAGGGTTATCATCACAATAACCTTACTTATAACTTCTAACCTTACTAAGTCCCTTGGACCTGAACCCTAAACCTTAAACTTGAAGTCCCAAACCGTAAACCCTAAACTTTTCAATCCTGAACCCTAAACCCCTAAACCCGACAACCC